CGGTCGTCCGGCGACGTTTCATCTCATTTGGCAACTTTAACACGCGCAATGTGCAACATAATACCTACACTATACTACATCCAGAAAGAAACGCTTCTCGGAACCTATTTCGCTCGCAACATGCCGAAAACTATTAGTGAATAAATGACTTCGTAAAATATAACGACATGTTTTAGTTTTTCGCGCGAAATTTTTGCGCGAATTTTTATTTTCTTGGGGAAAAAGAGAAAGGTTTACGATAATTTAGATGACGTGCGAAAGAAGCATAAAATGATGAAGTATGCTCTTACGTTGCGCACAAGCCCGGCGCCTCCACCAAAACTGTTTTATCCAAAGTTTTACGCTAAAAAACTTCAAAGTTAAATTTAATTTATTTTATTGACTGATAACTATTTTAAAACAGAAAAAATTTTATATAAATATTAATAGGTGTATTAAATTTTGTGGCGCCTCCACCAATTTTTGGAAAAATTCAAATTTTATCGATTCCGCATGCACGTAAATTGCTTTTTGTGAATGAACCCCGTATATTCGGCGTGTGGGCGACTCGTGCTTTCTGCTCTGCGCGAAAAAACGTTTGGCAGCGGCGAGATTTGGCCATCACTGTTTTCTCATGCTTCAAAAATGGCGTATTGGGATGCCTAAGTGAATAGTAAATTAGAATCTACGCTGTAGTCTAATTTTAGCCGGGCGTAATTTTTAGTTTGGGTTTTGGCTTTGCGGTAGTCGGCTGTATGTTGGGCGACATCATCAGCATGGCATATGAGCATAACGAGTCTCTGCGCGTGAACTTTGCATGAGAAAGGTGTTGCGCGCGGGCTCGTCGCGCCGGCAATTCATTCTTGAAGTTGGCGATGCGGGAATGACATGCTGGAAGCGACTTTTGATATACTCCGCTGCATGCTGAGAGGGTGAGCTTTTTGGGGAACCAATTTGCTATGCACGTATGCTGAACATATGAATACTTAGTGTAAAGTTTGAGCGCTTCTTTCGGTTTTTGGAGTTTTCTACTGTGGAAAAGAAGATATCAGTATGATTTTTTTTTCTTATCATGAAAAGAGTTTAATTGTGCATTAGTGTGTGGTAAAATAATTTAGTAATTATTTTTAGTTTTTGAGATATAATGATTTTTATATCGAAAAAAAAATGAAATTTTTCTGTTATTTGAATTTTTTTACTTTTGAGATATTTTAGGGGTGGTTATAGGTGGGTAAAAGGGATGCTATGTAATGTCGGGTAAAAAGAGACTTTTTGGCTAATGGAAACCGTTTAAAAAATTTATTTTGCTCATTTGATTTAGAAGATACCGGGTAAAACGTAAAACAATTTCTGAAAATATTTTCAAAAATTTTCAATTATTCAATTTTAATGCTTTTTAAAGCTCATTCAATTAAAACAAGAAGCACAAAACATAATACATCTTAAAGAAAATCTCCTCCTTTATTATAATGTTTTTAAATAATTAAATTTCCTCTTTTTGTTTATAAGATACAAATTAAAACCTAACAAATTCCTAAAAATAATTTTAAAAATTTCCAATTCTTCAATTTCAAAGCTTTTTAAAGCTCATTCTACCGAAATAAAAAGCGTAAAACATAATATATCTTAAAGAAAATCTCTTCCTTTATTAGAATGTTTTTAAATAAGTAAATTTCCGCTTTTTGTTTATAAGATACAAAGAAAAACAAAAAAAAATTCCTAAAAATATTTAAAAAATTCCAATTCTTCAATTTCAAAGCTTTTTAAAGCTCATTCAACCAAAATAAAAAGCACAAAACATAAAATATCTTAAAGAAAATCTCCTCCTTTATTAGAATGTTTTTAAATAATTAAATTTCCTCTTTTTGTTTATAAGATACAAAGTAAAACATAAAAAATACCTAAAAATATTAAAAAATTTCCAATTCTTCAATTTCAAAGCTTTTTAAAGCTCATTCTACTGAAATAAAAAGCACAAAACATAATATATCTCAAAGAAAATCTCCTCCCTTAATAAAATCTGTTTAAATAATTAAATTCCCTCGTTTTGTTTATAAGATACGACGCATTTTCCCCCACAATTTTTCTCCGCCCGAAAATATCTTAACTAAAATGACGCAGGCCTGATTAATGAGGTGGAAAATTTAAGTTTGAAGGCACATTTCCGCTCAATAGCCGCTTTGGAACGGATTACAAACATTTAGCGAACCTAAAAGTGTTGTTGTTGCTGTTGCTGGCCGCATGTGCGCGGTGCGCGCCGGCGGCGATGCGAAGAGCGCGTGAGCACACCGCGTGTGTGGGCGAACCAACTCTGGTGGCGGCAAACCAACAGCCCCCGTTGCCGCATCGATCCAATATGTACGACGGCGACGACGACCACGGCCGAGCGCACCACTCCCACAACTTCGCCGAATACCAACTAGAGAGATAAACAACTTTTCAATTCTCTCTCCATCCACACACCGCCCCCAGCACACACTCGCATATTTATTAATTCATACTCGACATGCGTAATCATCTTTTGTAAACATGCCGTGTATGTATATATGTATATGTGTGGTTATATTTAAAAACAGCTACCTGTTGGGCTTGCGCAGTTGGAAAAAAAAAGCAGAAACAAGAAAGTTGAGTGTTCACTTGCGTGCGGCGGTGATAATCGCGTGAAAACCGGCGTCAAGGACATGCTGTTGCTCATTTCGTCATATTGCCATGATGAAAACTTTCCAAACACACCCGCATACATCTAAAAATATATTGATACTCCACTCAAGGACATCAAAAAGTGTTCAATTTTGGGCAAGAGGCAAATGCAATCGATTCACGCATACGTCCGTATACATTATTTTTGTTTTCTCTTGTTTATAGCCGCGCACAGTGTATGTATGTGTGAGTGTTTTCGTGAACATCCGTTAGGTTCATCCTCGTGGCGGCGGCGGGGCTCAATGCAACCTTGAAACTGAATGGAGCTGGCGAGTGGAAGTGGCAAACGGAAGAAATACGAGATGACGTCATAGAATTATACACACCCTCCGACATTCCGCAGCACATTCAACATTCATCGGAGTTTTCCACACACACACACACACATAGGAGACAGGATTTTCTCGCGCAATAATAAATTTCGGCGGGCGCTGGCCACTTGTAGACCTGACGTTTCTTTGAGAAACAATGGCTACCTTCAAAACACTCCCGGGGGACGCGTTTGTTGCCGCTCCCAGCCTCCCAAAGCGAGTGCCCCTCTTGTATTCAGGGGCGGTGGCGGTGCGCAGCACTATAAATGTCTAAAAATAGACATTCGACAACCGCATCTTAAAAATATTTCCAAAAATTACATTTTTAATTTTACATGTGAAATATCATCGAGATGATTGATTATTTTGTCCTTGAGAGTTATTTTTAGGTTATACACATAATTTGAGGTTAATATTGACGTTGCAATTCATTTCAGGACACAAAACAACGAAAAAATTTCCTTTAACCTAAAAAAAACGCATTTTTAACTTCAAAAATTGTCGTAGTTTTCAATTGTCTTGCTTAATATTGATGTTGCAATTCATTTTGAGACATAAAACAACAAAAAATTTATTTAACCTCAAATAAATTTTTTTTAACCTAAAATTGCCACTCAAGGTCATAGCTTTCAATTGTCTTGCTCCATAACATTGCATCATTCTTACTGTTGGAGATGATGATGACTGATGCGTAATATACCTTCATGGGGGGCCGAAGTAGGTCGGCGGCGGCGGCGGTTGGGTGCGAAGCGGGTCAAGGCCAACAACATGAACACATTACGCCTGCTTACGTAGGTACTTACTTAGTCGCTACGCATCGGAATGTCTACGCACGCCAGCAACATTTTCCTTTTCTCTCTGCTCAATCAATTTTTCGGGGGCTTTACAAGGCCGCGCGCAACTCGGGAAGACATCTGTCTGACTGTATTACGTATCGCCTAATGCAACAAGTCATTCGCGTGTAAAATACGGATTTTTGTCAAAATTTTATCGTCATCCATTGCGGAGGGCTTAGCGCGTAAGCACTTTAAACGATTCTAAATGCGTTTACAGTTTCTGCGCTCGCGAGCACTTTTCACCTTTTCATCTCATGTCGAACTCATTCTTCTCCAGTAAGCCGGATCAGCAAGACAATGGTCTTAAGGGATTTGAATAATGCGCGCCCGGGGGAAGAAATTCCGAGAGAAAAATGTTTTTTTGCGCGCGTGTGCAAGGACGAAATTAATTAATTCCGAAAATTGTTGTTTGTTGACTGATAAAATTACTATTTGTTGAAGCACACGTGTAATTTTAATTAAAAACTAACGTTGCATTAAAACTTTCAAAGTTTTTTCGCATTTTTTGCGTAAATAAAATAATTTTAAGTCAAAATTTAACCAAAATGTCGGCTAGAAAGCAGTATATAATAATTACAGCGCTCGGTGCGGTCAAATGCAAAACAGCTTTGTCTCTCCCAAGATGATTACGCCACCGCCGCCGCAAGTTGCGCGACGGGGTTTCTAATTGTGCGACGTTGGCGGTGAATTATGCCCGGCGAAGCAATTGCCTCGTTTATGACGCACGTATGCTCACGTTAAATAAATACAACGAGATTTACCCGCACGAATAGAGAAACAAAAAGCTCAGCGGTGGCTAGCATCCAATTAAAAGCACAAGATTACCCATAACACACACGTGAGATTGATTTCATCATATTATATTATTCACCACCTCATCCGGTGATAATATGTGTGACATTGTAAGCTCGGCTTTATAGGTTGTATAATCTTGCTTGTTCGGGCGTGGGGGTGTGTATTGCTTACACGCGGCTTTGATTTACGAGCGACACGCACATGCACAACACACTCGAGCCGGGTAATATCATCATTTGAAATTTATTACAAATATTTCCAGCTCGCATGCGGCGCGTCTAATGCCAACCACCTCAAAGGAGCTTTGGATGCCCGGCGCCTCCACATAATCTTACGCTTTGTATTTTAAACTAAAATTAGAAAACATTTTTTTTTTCAGGGAGTGGATGGGATAATGGGATGGATGCATATTAAAGTTGCGTTAAGTGTGGAGCGAAAAACAATTTGCACTCGTTTAAAACGCGCAAAGTGCTGCGGGATTTAAATTGAGATTAATTTGCAAAGCGGAGCGTCAGATAATAATTTAAATAGTAATTATGAAGAAAATGTTTTTAGATAAATTTTTTTTTGTTGAAATTTTTAAGAAAAACGAAAAAAAACTTTTTTTTTCTTTAAATTAGTGTTAATTAATGCGAGTAACTTATTTAATTTGATTATTCATAAGAACATTAACATATTTCCATATTCACCTCCACCCCTGACCCGACATTGTAACCTCAAAGCGACTTTTTGTTGTTTAATTAATATAAATTAACATCTCGCTTTTTTGCGAATGTAGCAAAAACACTATTTTAATATGCACGGTAGGTTTTCACTGTTATATACATATATATCTATATGTGTGGGTAAAGAAAAAGGTGGGGAGTAAAGAGGGGTGCGCGGCGCGCTCGCGAGCGTAGGCGGACCCGGTCGACGGCGGCGGCGGCGGCGGACTCTGCGTGCTCTCCAGCTAGTCGCGAGCCGTCTCCAGCGTCGTTCGCAAGCAGCCTCAGGCGCACCAAACACACAAGCAAGCGGCGAGCGCACGCAAAACAAACAAGACAAAATCCGATTTGAAACACACTCGCGACGTTGTTGAATCAATGCAACTGACGAAAGTATTGTGAATTTGTATAGTGGACAACACAGTGCCCGATCTGGACAGGACTAAAACCTCGGACGTGCGATGAGCGGTAACACTGACTTAAGTCTCCTCTTACTTTACTGAACAACTGAAAAGCAAACGCAAATCATATCAATTGAATTATTCGTGTAATAGATTCGTGTACAATTCATATTCGTAATAATCGACTTGAAATATTTTTCGACAAATCCAACTAGTGGGCATTTGGAGGAGATTTGGTGAAGAGAATTTGATTTCCTCACGATTTTTTGCTGTTTTACTGCGTTACTGCCGAGCGCACCCATTCGATACACTGTGGGGCGGCGGCAACAAGTGGAAACACACCATATTATAACTCTTTCTCACCCTCCGGCGGGCGGCAAGTCTAATAATAGTCAGCGCCTACTCCAAAGTGATTTAAAAAGACCTCGAAAAGTGAATTATTTCTGTGTTGAATTTGCTTCTTCTAAGCGTTAAGATTGAACCGCCGGGTGAATTCGCACCGCCGCTAAGAGGGCCGATGGTTCGGGCGCGATGATCACCTGAAACCCCATCGCTAGCACCATTGTCCTCCACCATACACTTTGCATCCGCTGTTCCACGGCTTTCAACAAACAGCAGGGCCTAACAAGTCCCAACCGGAACCGCCGCTCGCCTCCCCCCTGGAGTAGTAGCCAGAATGTGGGCCGTGCTGACGGTGACGGTCTGGGTGTGTGCCCTTGCCACCCCGCAACCGCTTCAGTCACCGCAGCAACAGCAGGTGCAGGTCCAAGCACAGACTAAACCTCTAGCTCCAGCGGCGAATCATTTAAAAATTCGCAAACGCTCTGAGTTGCCACGCGATTGGAACGAATGGAACGATGTGGATTTCAACTCGAATAATCAAAATCAACGATTTGCGTATGCGCCAAACTCGAAAGTCGACTTTGGGAATCCACTGGCGGGGATTGCGGCGTCGACGTCGTTCTTCGGTGTGAATGATTGGCAGAAGCGGGATGGAGGCGGCGAGGGAGGCGGCGTGCATCCGCCGCAGCTCATGTTGCGGTCACCGCGTGCCGGCAGACAGTATGATGTTCCACAAATAGGTGAGTAGTGATGATTAATATTGCTTGACTCATCAATTGAATAAATCTAGGCAATTGGCATATGACTGACTCAATGCGGAAGTTGCAATTAGATGTATAACTTACACACATGTATAATATGTTGCCTATATTGCAAAAAAAATTTCATGAATAATTAACGTGCTTTGTCGATAAAGTCGTTAATGTCGGAAAACATCATCGCAACAATTCCTAATTAGATTCGTGTGGGCTTTTCGACTTTCATTCGCTGAAAAGTTTGATGATCCGTAGAACGAAGATTCGGTTTGGGAAATTGACGTCTCGGCTTGTTGCTCAACGCTCATCCGCCTCACACCTATGCCATTTTTTTATTAACAAGATTTCATAAACATAATAACGCTAAATCAGCGTTTTTTCCGTTGCTATGTACAATTCCCATAGTAATTAATTTAAAATTTCGCTGAGATAAGCGCAAAACAAAATATTAATCATTCGTTGAGTTGAACTTAAACTTAGCAAAGTTAATTTCAATTCAATTTCCTTTCGCTTTTCCATTAAAAGTCGTAAACAGGCCCGCCCGCCGACAAAGTTGATGATTATTTATGATTAAAAATGCGCGCACTTCTATTGCACAATATTAATCATAAAATACGCGTTGAATTAATTCGATTAGCAGGCGCTAATGAGTAATAACTGTACGTCATATCGAAATTCCACCTGTTTCTGGTACTGTGTGGGCTGGCAAATAAAGTTTGCAATCGATACAGCGAATGCCTGCAAACACCTCGTGGTATTTGTTCAATAATTAAGCCAGCGATTACCTGGGCACGACGACAAATTGATTCGTGTTCATATTTTTTCCCGTAATTGTTAATTAATTATTTTACTTGCGCGCGTCTTTTCGGGACGCACGACGAGAAGAGAATTTAAATGTCACCTTGAATGAACCTGTCGAGATGTGGATTAAATTGAATTATCTTTAGTTCGGGCTTTGCTTTTACCTTTCTTCCTGTCGAATTTCATTTCGAAAGCTCGGAATTACGTTTGTCATCAAGTTTAAATTAAAAATTCACTCGCAAAACTCTTAAAACAAGCAAAATAATTAAAAATATTGATTTTTTGTTTTTTAAGGTTATGATGAGTTCCTCTGACGTCATATCCTGTATTTAACCTCAACTTAACCTAAAAATTTGATTTTTTTGTTTTTTTAAGGTTATGTTGTCTTCCTCTGACGTCATATCCTGTATTTAACCTCAACTTAACCTAAAAACTATCAAATTTATGTATTTATGTAATACACGTCTATTAATAGCTGGAAATGTTTGATATCGGGATGAATGTTGGGAGAGGTGGGTGAAGGTTCTGCAGGTGTGCGGCACGTGCCGCAAATCCGGCCCCCCAATGACATTTCCATTGAACCCATTCAAAGCCGGTGCGCAACAAATGAGCAGCGCACTCACATGCGCCATGCGAGCCGAACTCAAACACTAACATATGTCCGCGGGGCTTATTTCGCCGCTGCGATCGGAAAAGCCCCGGCGCGAAGAAGCGTGGAAGCTCGCATGCGAAAAAGCACTAAGCGGAATTACCGCCGCATTAAGTGCGTACGGCACGTAATCGCATGCTGTTTTGCGCGTTTTCATCCAGCAATCGCTGCAAAGGGAAACAGTCACGTGGAAAAAATCTCATCTTGCTGGAATTTCATTTCGGTGTAATTAGGTTTCATTAATTTATATCTGATTATATGACTTGGATACGGATAGAAAAGGAGTAAATCTTGAAATATTTTGGTTTTTTATTGTTTATTGCTCAAAGATTGTAATCTTTTTAAATTTTCAGTAACTAAAATATGCGGGGTTAAATTATCTTTCATTTGAGATATTTTTCAATATTGTGGGATAAATATTTTCGGAGATATTGCACAAAATGTTAATATTTTTTTATGCAATCCAAAAAACATGTTTTTTGAGGGTTATTAGTGTTTTTCCTAAAAATTAACATGTATATATAATTTTTTCAGTAGCCAAAAGTTGATGGATTAAATTTGCATTGATTTGATGCATTTTTCAATACTGTGGGATAAATATTTTCGGAGATATTGCTAAAATTGTAAATATTTTACCCACGCAACCCAAAATATGCGTTTATTTTTGCTTTCACTGGCGATTTTTATAAAAATTAAGGATTGTATATGATTCATTTATTATCCAAAATTAGTGGAATTAAATTTTCATTAATTTGACATATTTTTCAATACTGTGTGATATATATTTTCGAAGATATTGCTAAAAATGTAAATATTTTACCCACGCAACCCAAAATACACGTTTTTTTGATTTTACTGGCGATTTTCCTAAAAATCAAAGATTGTATATGATTCATTTATTATCCAAAATTAGTGGAATTAAATTCTCTTTGATTTGACGTATTTCCCAACACTATGTGATCAATAATTTCTGAGATATTGCAAAAATTGTAACATTTTGCCCACGCAACCCAAAATACATGCTTTTCAGGTGTTACTAATATTTCTCCTGAAAATCAACACATATATATGAACCTTTCATCACCAAAAACACACGTAATTAAATTCTCTTTGATTTGACATATTTTCCAATACCGTGTGACAATTATTTTTGGAGCTATTGCACAAAATTGTTAATATTTTTATCTACGCCACCCAAAATACATGTTTTTTGAGTGTTTTTGATGTTTTCGCTAAAAATCAACATGTCAATATGAGTTTTTCAGTAGCCAATAGTTGAGGGATTAAATTTTCATTAATTTGACATATTTTTCAATACTGTGTGATAAATATTTTCGGAAATATTGCAAAAAATGTAAACATTTTGTCCACGCAACCCAAAATACACGTTTTTTGATTTCACTGGCGATTTTTCTAAAAATCAAAAATTGTGTATAATCCATTTATTATACAAAATTAGTGGAATTAAATTCTCTTTGATTTGACGTATTTCCCAACACTGTGTGATCAATAATTTCCGAGATATTGCAAAAATTGTAACATTTTGCCCACGCAACCCAAAATACATCCGTTTCAGGTGTTACTAGTGTTTCTCCTGAAAATCAACGCGTATATATAGCCCTTTCATTACCAAAAACATACGTAATTAAATTCTCTTTAATTTGACATATTTTCCAATACCGTGTGACAAATATTTTCCGAGATATTCTATAATATTATTAACACACTACCCACGCAACACAAAACACATACCCTTTGAGTATCAGTACTATTTCAACCGAAACTCACCGTGTATATATGATCCCTTCATCCTTCAAAGGGAACTCCAGTGGCTGGCAACATTCAATGTCGAGTGATTTTCCATTGATGCGAAGCCGTGATTAATTTAAACGCAGCGCGTCAGTTCGAATTGCCCTGCGGTTTGTCGCTGCGAAGTGTTGCAATATTACAATTGCCATTCAAGCGTTCCATCGAACCGTACGCACACCGAATGCAATTTTTCGCGTCAGCGCGAAGCCATTTGCAAATTACGCTTTGTTGACGGCCACACTTGTTGCCAGGTCACAATATCTAATCAAATTAATTGCATATTGTTTCATCTGACCTTCTCGCCACCACCGAACGGAAAACCTACAGATATCCAAGCGAGATAAATTAAAAACAAACAATTGTAAACTATGTGTAAGTGTAAGACTTGTTGGAGTACTTGTTGCGTGTGTATCGGCCGCGGGGGCTGCAGCGCCGTTTCAAAGATTAATTATATTAGAGGGCATGCGGAGGAAGAGCTTCCAAGCAAAATAAAAACTGAACAAACAACGCACGACGCTATAAAATACCCCCACAAATTATATTCTACAATTTTTTATTATTTCTCATCAAAAAAACACCAAAAAATTCAACATAACCTAAAAAAACTAAAATTATTTTATAGGTTAGTTTTGTTGGTTAACCTCAGCTCCAACTCGAACCGCAAAGGTAGCCTGCTTCCATTCATAAACTCCTCGGATCGATAAAGATTTGCCTCGCTGTTTCATGATTAATCCAACGTCGTGTATTAGTTCTAAAGATAGTTTCGTGAAGCTTAAAATACACCCGAACCCGAAACGTAATCAGATCTTATCGAATAAAACTAATTGACTGAATTTCCAAGCGCAAAAAATGATACGTAACATTCCTGACACGTATATCATGTTAAGCTTCTGATTAGGCCACGGAACATGAACTTCAATAATGGATAATTGAATTTGCATCGCTCGGGAGTTGCGAGCAAGTAAAGCCAATAACTACACATCGATACAAAGACAAACTGATCAAGGAGGATGCATTATTAAGTTATCTCTAGTTGTTTGCCCAAGTGGAGCAACTTTGATTAATCTTAATTAAATACCAGACGAATAATTAAATTCATGATTTAAAACAAAAGAGAAAAATTTGTTTTCAGGTAAATTTTGAGGTTTTTTTTGAATATTTATCTTCGTACGCTCGGCGGTAAATCCACCACACACATTCCCAAATGGTTTATCACTTCGTCGAAGACGCCTCGTAAGTAGTTCAATTGGAAAGCCATAAATAAAGGACACTTCTGCGTTTCGGAACTGCGCGCACACAAATCGCAAGTCGCCCACTTGCAGAATATATGTTGTTATTTTGCGGCTGCATTTCCACGTAAACAGTTCATCCACCGAGCGTAGCAAAATGTTATTAATTCCCGCGCGCGCGCGCGCGCTGTAGGTAAGAGATGTTGGGTACTTAAGATGTACGAGTACGTCAACATTTACAATGATCGCCGTGATATCGCCACCGGGGCGAAGCACTCTTCCTTTTTAGTTTTCCGGGGTGGACGTGCGACGTGCAACCGGAAGAACGAGGTCGTTCCCAGTGCGTTGCCCTCGTTTGGCCGGCGGCGGTGCGGCGGGGATGGCAAAACAACAAAACGCGAGCGCGCGCGCTTAAATGCCGCCTCACTTCGCGAACGTCGAATGTTTGGATTTTAAGTGATTTCACCATGCTGCGCACACTTCAAGTGAAAAGATCA